TTCTTTATAATTGGCAAATACTGCTTTCCCTTAACCTGCCTGGTTACCTGTGCCATATTCCTTGTGCAGGAGCTCTGTCCAGAGCACCAGGAGGGAGCTGGGCAGACCCGGCTGTCCTCGGCAGTGACATATTTGTGTCACTCCCTCGTCTCCAAGATGTGAGCTGCCCGATGGCAAGGAGTAGGGAAATCACTCCCATCCCAGTTAACCTCTCACTTCTGTATGGGAAACCTGCAAGAAACTGCTCATTACGGCTACCCACACACACCACACCCTGCTTCTTTACAGACACCTATCCATTAACAAAAATAACAATAAAAAAGCCCCCTAGGGAAATGTACTTCTGAGAACCTGTTTTTCTAACATGCTGTCACTGTGAGACATACATAATTAACAAAAGCTATGCTCGTTAGTTGTTTTTTTTTGTTTTTTTTTTTACTATTATACGTTCTGTCAGAGGCAGCATCTTATTTACGAAAGCAGGTATTTAGTAAAACATTAATTGTAAGTTGAGGATTGCAGGCTAATGCCCTTTTCCTAGGCAGCTGTCAGCATGTATCCTGGCAATCTCTTTTATAACCTTCTCACACTGCTTTTGGAACAGTACCATTAGCAGAGAGAGAGATGGAAGTTTTAACACAGCTGTTGCATGTCTGGTGTTTATTCTTTCTTTCTTTTTTTTTTTTTTTTGAGACACAAAACAGACTCTTAGAGTTTCCAGCTACCAAGCTACATCAATCATCAACAGAAAAGAGAAAAAAAAAAGCGAACCAAAGTATTTTCCAAACTCCAAATGTAAGTAGAATTCAGTAGAATTCAGGTCTTCTCTGTGAATTTTACTTTGAGTTAGCATGCCCTGTTTGTGCTTTCATGTTTTTAACGGCTAAAACTGTGGATTATTCTTCAATTCCTTTTGGAGTTTTTCGGGTTTTTGTTAATGTTTCACAATATGAGAATCGGAGGTTATTGTACTGAAATAAGACTGCCGCATTATATAAAGTTGCCAGTGTTGTCATGTAGAGGAACTGGAAAGTCCCAAAGCCACTGCTTACTAAAGAAAGTTCAATTATGTTCCTAATTGAAAGCACAGACTCAAAAAATGACTGCAGGTTTCGTTAGGCAGGAAACAGTCGTGGATGTTTGAACTTTAAATTGCAATTAGCTGAACTTTCTGTCTGGCTGGGAAGCCTCTCCAAGGAAAACCCCTCTTTTTCTCAGTTGCCATCACTTGCCTGCAGACTCATTCACACGAGGAGGGCTCAGCCGTCAAGGCAGGCAGGGAAATCACAGCCAGCTGCTGCTGATATTACTGCTGGGGCACTGGGGGAGGAAACTGATAACACACACACTGCGCTGGCACCGCCACTGTGGGCAGCACCCGAAATGGCCACTGATAATGACAGTGTCTGAGAGCTCTGAAATGATCATTACCTCTCTCGGGAGGGACAGATGTCTGTTAAGAGACGATGGACTCTCCTGGAAAATGACCAGCAGCTACACCAAACTGGCTTCCTGCCTAC